CTAAAGCAGTTACTCAGCTGCTTGTGGTAGATCCATGGAGTTGATTGCCAGTCTCATCATGGGGAATAACTATCACCAGCTGCCCAGCCACTCAGCCAGGCCTGACCAAGTTGACATACAACTTTAACTACCACATAGGCATATGGATATTATCCTATCACTGACAGCATTGTACTTCAGGACACATCTTGAAATAGTCTTTGACACGATGAACACCACACCATTCCTCTTTAATTTGTCATTTCCGGCATAGTAGATATGGTTGTCTGATTCAAAATGGCCAAAATCAGTCCATTTCAGCTCACTAATGCCTAGGATATCGATCTTTATGCATTCCATTTCACTTTTGACAACTTCCAATTTTTCTAGATTCATACTTTGTACATTCTACTTTCCAATTATTAATGGATGATTGCAGCTGTTTCTTCCCATTTTGAGTTGTGCCACATCAGTATATGGAGATCCTGAAAGCTTTACTCCATCCACATCATTAAGGTCGACTCTACTCTAAAGAGGTAGCCTTTCCCCAGTTGTATTTTGAGTGCCTTCCAACCTCAGGGGCTCATCTTCCAGCACTATATCAGTGTTTCAGGGCTATTCATAAAGTTTTCCAGTAATACATCTGTGTTTCACTGCTACTCATAAGGTTTTCACTGGCCAATTCTTTGAGAAGTGGATGGCCCCTTCTTTCTTCTGAGCCTGTCCTAGTCTGGAAGCTCTGCTGAAACCTGTCCACCATGTGTGACCTTGCTGGTATTTGAAATACTGGTGGCATAGCCTGTACTGTCATAGCAACACACAAGCCACCACAGTATGACAAACTGACAAACAAGTATAGAATGAAATAATAGAAGGTACAGTAATACATGTAATTAAAACTAAGTCTTCAGGCAGTAGTTTCTGTTCGACTTTTGAATACTTTTTATGAAATTCTCGATGTAAATTGACTTTCCTGGTAGTATTTTTCTCATAACAAATGATTGGTGTTCTTTGGAGTGACATAATTTACTTTTTTTCCTTTGGTTGCAAGAAGAGCCATAAGCAGTATCCTTCCATACAATCCATATAAATCCTATATTTTGTGTCACATATTTTCTATATTGTGTGTTATGCTTTTATGTGTGTGATGTATTGCTATTTTAGAAATAGAACATACTGTATTTATGATGTCCTATGTTTTTCCAGAGTATAAGTTCATGAGGGAAGAACTTTGTCTTATTCACAACTCTTGTCTTTGCATCTGGAAATATTCTGGCGTGGAGTAGGACATTCAGTAAATACTGTATTTAGAAAGCAAATGTTACCACAGTGAGTCACTGTGAAACTGTAGAGAACAAGATCCCTGGAGCCGAGCATTAGCTGAATCAACTGTGCAGACCTTGAAACTGCTAAAAGTGTTACACACTAAGTATTGGTTGGAGAGTGTAATAATAAATTGTAATAGCCATATCAAGAAGGGATCATGGTCAAAAGTTGGTAAAATTGGAACAGAAGGTCAAATTCTGAATGGAATCCAGACTTTCTAGAGATACTGAAGCTGGGTGAACACCCAAAACTGTAGCCCTGAGTTAATCTTCTAACGTTAAACCTCAAAATAAAACTTTTCATGGAAGTCTGCTTGGAACCAAACAAGAGTTTAGCCTAAATAGTAAAATATATTCTCTCAAAGATTTACCTATGTGACATCAAACTGACAACAGCAATTTGAAAGGTTAGATAAAAAGCTTAGGGGACAGTGGCTTCATGCTAATGATGGTGGAATAATTTGAAAAAAGATAGCAGGAATAGTTACACAACTTTAAAAGTGTAAACAGTGTCACTGGATTGTACACATAGAATTTACTTAAATGGTGTATCCTTTCCTTTGTATAGCTTCACAAAAAATAAAATTTACTTTAAAAAAACTTTTCAGTAAGAGGCCTTTTGGGACCTGATTTTATTTTGTATGCTAGTTAGTCTTATTGATTTTTAATTTTATTAATTCCTAGTGCTTGGAAAACACTAACTGAGGGTAAACTTTATATGGAAAATGAGATCTAATTTTTGCTTAATTTTCCTTTTTTTAGGAAGAATCCTCAGCACAAGATAGAATATAAACATAGTGTAACTCCAGGTAAGAAATTTTACTTCAAGAAACTCAAAATGAAGCTTATGTAGTTTCTAGCTATTGTAATTTAAGAAATAAAAAAAATAATCTTTGTTTCTGTGCATTTTTGGATTGTTTGTTTTAGTGATTTTTTTCCTAGATTAACAAAATAAAACTGTGAACATTTTATATAGCAATTGTTTTTCCACAGTCATCATCCAACAGTACATATTTGTTCCATATCTTTTAAGATTCTTTTTTTTGCAAGTATCTGAAAACAAAATTTCAGACTGGCTTTAGTGACGAGAATTTATTGACTCGTACAACTTAAAAGTCCAGAGGTAGGACTGGATTAAACAAGATTCATTGTTTTGGCTTAGTAGGGTCATCAGGAACCCGGTCTCTTCCTATCATTCTGTCTTTAGAGGGGTTATTCTGATCCTCAGGCTGACTCCCCTCCCAACTGAGGGACTGTGTGCAGCCTTGTTCAGTAGGAGCTATAAGCATTTGTGTTTACATCTAAGGAGGCAAGTCATGAAAATTCACTCTTTTTTACTCCTAAAAGTCACATTCTTTTTTTAGGTCACATTCTTACCTTTGACTGATCACTATGACTACTGATTAGTTTGTACCCCTCCTAGGACCAGAGTTAGAGTCACTTTCTTCAATGTCACAGGGATCCCCAGTAAAAAATAAGCTTTAGGAAAAGGAGAGAAGGAAAGAGAGACCAGAGAAGCAACTATCAAGTGTCCTTCAGTCCTGTTTACATCAATCTGTTTTACCTTGTCTGTCTTCTGCTTTTTAATGCTATTATTTTTTTCCTTTAACAGATGCTGACTTCTTTGTATCATTTACATAATGTAGAGTCCAATTCAGCACACAGTATTGCTGCTAATGGAGTAAACTACGTGCAATCAAAGCTACACTCATATACATTTGTATGTGCATACATACAACCAATTCTAGTGATGAAAATGATTAATTTTACCATAAGGGAATTCCATTTGACATTTCTTCCTGAGACACACTTTAGCACGTTAGTACTCCAGACATAAGTATATTTCCTTTTTTCCTTTAGTGATCTGAGCATGGAGAATGTATGTAATATATATGCTTTCTGTACTGGAACTGTGTCTAATGATGTAGCATTTATGGTGGTGAAAGTAGTTTTCTTTCTAGAGATAATTAATGATATTTGATTAGAGCTATATTTTATTGACATACTTTAACATTATCCTTTGAAAAAGGGTATTTGATATATTTGTGTATCTTTGCAGAAATAGGAACCATTTCTAAATATTATCAATATGTATCTTATGGCATAGTTTAAGGGAGCTCTGGTGGCGTAATGCCTAAGGCACTTGACTGCTAACCAGAAGGCTGGTGGTTTAAATCCACCAGCCACTCCTCAGAAGGAAGGTTGGGCAGTCTACTTCTGTAGTGATACTGCCTTGGAAACCCAAGGAGGGGCTGCTATGAGTCGGATCCAACTCGACAGCAGTGAGTGAGTGAATAGCATAGTTTAAAATATCTGAGTTTTCTTTGACAAGTTTCTTTGAATTTTCATTGAAGTATTTGCTGAGCAGTCAGCAACTTTTAAAAGAAAACCTTTTCATTTTATTGGAAAGAACAAGTATAGCCATAGATATTTTTAAGCAACTACTTATCCTTATATTTTTAATATACTTTCTGATTCATGGCCTCACACATTCATTTATTTCTATGCCTTCCATATGAGTGAAGTTATAGAGATGAGGACCAGCTCTGGCTCTAGAAGTTTGTGGTGAGATAGATGTGTAAAACCTCAGAAGAAAAGGAAGAAGCAGTTTTCTGCTGGAGATTCTGAGCATAGACTTGATATGGGAATTTAAGATGGCCTCTAAGGTAGAAGGATTTCCATTATCTTTGTTTATTTCTTTGCTTTGTGCTAGATAGGCATAGGATATCCCAGACAAAATGAATAACAGATCAATCAGAGGGTTGACAGTAGAAATTTGTGCTTGCAGTTAGCAAGTAGATCAGTTTAACTGATGGGGAGAGTCTCTGTAGTTGCTGTAGATAATACTAAGAGGGTGTGTTGAGACAGATTATGGAAACTCTTGAAAGCAGACTAAAGCTAAGAGCACTTCAACAAATAATGATGAACCAGTGTTTTACCAGAATCACGGGGGGTGATGATGAGCCGTCTGAATCAGAGTAGGGGAAGCCAGGTAGAGGAGGTTAGTTAGGTAGTTGAATAAAGGCCCAAAACTAATATGACCACCAAGAGAGTGGAAAGGTAGGATTCAATACAAGAGATTGTGAAGGAAGTATCACTAAGATTTGTTAATTGGTTGGCTGTGGTGTAGGGGCTAGAATGAGGTAAAGGGAACTGGGATGTCTCAGGATTTTAGCGTGAATTATCAAGAGACTGGGGTGACGTTTTCATGTAATGGAGATTAGGAACAAGAACTAGGTAGGTTTTTGTTTTTTAAAGAACATTGAATTTGAGCTGGGGTGTCATAACTACATGATGTGTCAATAAAATCTAATATAGTACTAAACATTAAAATAACTTGACATTAAAATTTAACTATTTAATTTCTTATTTGTAACACTCCCCAAACACTTCAATCTATAAAGTTTTCCCACCATGCTAACAATTGATGTGCATCCCCTTTTTTTTTTCCAGGCTTCACTGCTATCATCTTTTGAGCTTCTTATATGTCTAACTTGTTTAAAATTTCAATAGCTTTCCACACTTTTTCACAGCACTGTGATTTTGGCACAAGATATTAAATGCAAGAATAATCAGTGCCAGGAAAATTCTGTTTTATTCTTTTTTAGATACCTTACCTGTTGACAGCAACATAAGACTTAAATTATATTCTAAAAGCTGCTACTCAGAGTGGGGAAAGCTGAGTGAATACGGAGTAAGAGAAAGGCTGGCTCAATAGTACTTATAAAAGAAATAAAATTCACATATAATAAAGTAGAGCAGAAGTACACACACTTCTTTTCTAATGCTAAAATATGAATACCCAACTAAGAGCTTAGTGCATAAAAGAAAACGAGTCTTTAGTAATAAAAGTTAGCGTTATTAAAAGTGATCATGCTTGTAGTTTGTAGTAAATTTTTGTCATTAAAGATATTGGGCCAAAATATTTCTTTAATTAAAATTAACATCCTAATTAGTACTGAGATTTACTGAAAAAGAAAGAAAAGAAACCTGAAAATTTATCCTTGTTACACTATTAATGAACAATGAGGCAGATAATCATTGTTCTGGTTACCTAGTGCCACTCGGACAAGAAAATACCACAAATGGGATGGCCTTAACAAACAGGAGCTTATTCTTACAATTTGGAGGCTTTAAGTCTTAAGTTCAAAGTGCCAGGCTCTAGGGGCTGGGTGAAAGCCCCTCAGCCTTGGGCTTCAGCTCTGCCTCCAGCTCCCAGCCCACTGGAGCTAGAGGCGTTTCTTCACTCAGACAGCTGCTGGCTGCTGAGGCTGAGAAGCCCCAAGATTGACAAGTAAAACAGGCACAGTCCCAATGTTACCAATCCACACAGCAGGCCATTAACTTAAGTCCACTGTAGGTCCCAAGGTCGGCAGAGCATAGCAGGCTGCTGAGCAGTGACACGGCTACAAGCAGGGTTCAAGCATGCCAAAGGCTAGAGACCATTCTCAAAGCTTCTCCTTATATACAAGAAGCAGTCTATATACCCATGGGCAGCTACTCAGCTGCTCACAGTAGATTCCACCATGGAGTTGATTACCAGTCTCATCATGGGGAATACTACATCCAGCTGCCCAGCCACTCAACCAGGCCTAGCCAAGTTGACATACAAACATAACCATCGCAATCATCTTAGATCCTAGTACCAGAGAACTGTTGGGGAGGGCAGAGCAGAATAGCACTGTTTGAAAAGATCTTTTCTCCATGCAATATCAGCAACTTCTTTTAACATGCATCTGAGCCAGAGGACTCTTCAGCAGCTCTACAAACTTAGTTCTTAGAGTAAAATTTAATAGAATTACTTAGTTCTCTAATCAAGAAATTTCCTGGTATGAGAAGCTGTCTTTGAAATTTTCATATAGCAGACAGTGCTATAAGCAGGGTTTGTGTGAACTTTACTAGTTTCATCACTTTAAATTCAGATATCCAGATATTTGGCATATGCTTCAACTTGCTAGAGACCACATGTATTGTCTTGTTTTCTGCTGTGTTCTCCATATCTGTTTTGCATAAAAACATTACTTTTATGGAAAGACAGACATTTTATTCCTAGGTTAAGTGGTAACATGCTTACTTCAAGGGTAAAGAGCCCTGCTTCCTGAGATTGGTGCCATGATTCAGGAAATCATTAATAAACAACAAGTTCACTGATCAGAGCATATTCCCAGTAAGCAAAGTGTCATTATCGCCAAGACCCTGTTACACAGAAAGGCAGACACTAACATTTCTCCAAAAATCCTTCACACTCTACTAGCAATAATAATAATAATAATAAGCTCCCCTCTAGATGGCTTTTAGTGTAGTGCCTAAAAGCACTTGACTGCTAACCAGAAGGCTGGTGGTTCAAACCCACCAGCCACTCCTCGGAAAGAAGGTTGAGCAATCTACTTCTGTAGTGATACCACCTTGGAAACCCAAGGAGGGGTCACTATGAGCCGGATCTGACTCCACGGCAGTGAGGTTTTTTTGTTTTTTGTTTTTTGTTTTGGTTTAGATGGCATTTGCCTTATGTAATTTTAAAGTCATTAAATAAATTTGCTGTAATACAGTTCATTAACTCATTGGTTCTACAGAGATAATCACGTATCAGCATTTAAAGTCCTGTTAAGAAGCATCTCTGTGGTACCACTAACCAGGACATAGAGCTGGATTCTAGAGCTGACTTGGCCCTTATCTTAAGCCATGACTTTGGCCCTTCAGATGCTCTCACTTAACCCTTTCATGACCAAATTATTCTGTCTTTTAGATTTGGTTGTTAAAAGATTTTTCAGTAACAGAATGCATGCTGAATAATTTAGTCATGTTAAAGTTTTATTAGGTAAGATGGATTTTGATAAATAATATGTGAGAGACATATGTGTCCCTGGACTCTGGAGGTAGGATAGGTGGGATGAGACATGGTAAAAATCACTTGTTATTAACAAACTTATTTTATTTGTGAAACGTTTGGAAACAAGGAGTGACACATAAAGGCACCCTGTACTGGCTGCACATAATTAGTGTTCCTGTCTTCTTATTGCTGCATTCTCTGCATCACCTTCTAGACCCTTCCCAAGTTAATGCTTCCCAAGCTGTCAGAGCTGTAGTCATTTGGCAGGCACCCTCCTTACTCTTGGCTTGTTCTTCACAAGAAAGGAAGAGCTTCCTATTCTTTTGAATTTCAGGCCCACAGTAGGCTAACAGTAATGAGAAGCTGCCTAATGGTCACATCTGCCCCCATTGTTACATGGTGGTGTAAACAAAAATTAGCATAGCGCTCTTATGAAAACACCTGGGGGCTGCGTCACAGCTGGCAAATGAATGCGGAAAGCACACAGTGATTTGCATATAGATAAGATATTGCCTGAAAATAAGTTACTCACTTAAAAATTATATCACCAAAACCACAACCTCAAATGCTACACAGGAAACACTATACATTCTTACAAGGCTCACCTAGCTGTACACAAGTCAAGAAAGACAAAAAGTTCTATACATTCACACCTCCGGGATGCACACCCCACCCTCTTTCAGTACGCACTGTGATCTGGTGCCACTGAACCTTTCAGTTTTAAACAGTTAGTTACATACTAGGCCCTACCACATACCTAAGTAAAACACTAGCATCCCAAGACACAAGAGAGGCAAACAGTGTAAGTGTACCATGCACGTCCCATGGGTCATGAAAGAGTCTTAAAGCACAAAGTTCATATGAAATAAAGTGAATGAAATTTGACCACCAGCTCCACTGAGTTCTATGATAGATGGTTTTGTAGATTACAGACTTCGTATTAAAAGACATATACTCAAATGTGAGTGGTAATTTGGTAGATATAAATAACTTTGTGAGGAAACAGATGGGACTCTTTTGATAAATATGGCCTCACTGCCTCAACAAATGATTCTGCTCTGTAAGTTGCTAAATATATCCAGTGTTCAATGAGGCTTAAAGCCCTTTCAATTGGCAGGATTTAAAAAAAAATTCTTTTATGAAATTTATCATACTGACAGACAGCTAGTGATATAAAGCATAGGCTTTTGTGAAAGGGTTTCTATAAAATTAAAGCCGTTCAACAACGGCAGATGGGTCATTTGTTCATCCATTCATATATTCAGCAAGTATCTATCAAGTGCCTTCCACATGTTAGGTGCTTTTGTAGGAGCTTGGGATACGGTAGAGACAAAGCCCTGATCTTGTAGAATTTTACCAGAGTGGATAATTCACATGTGAACAATTTTATGTGTAAGGTGATGATAACGTCTGAGAAGAAAAATAAAGTGGTGTGAGAGGACAGAATGGCAGGGGTGAATGTGGAGGGGGAGTGTCATGTCAGGATGCTAAAAGAAGGACTCTGATAATTTGACATTAGAGCAGAGGTCTAAAGGAAAGAGCAAGCCAAGTGATTGTCAGGGGGGAAAATATACTGGGCAATGGAAACAGTGAGTTCAGAGGCCCTGGAGATCATGTTTAGACTGTTCAAGGAGCAGCAAAGAGAGCGTAGAATTGAAGATAAGAGAGTAAGTAGAGTGTGGCAGGATATAAGATCAGAAAGCTAGCAGTGACTCAGTTGTACATAGTCTTATAAGCCAAGACCTACAAGTAAGGACTATAGATTGTATTCAAAGTGAAACAGAAAGCTATTTGGAAGGCTTTGGACAAAGAATTCACATCTAACTAATGTTGTAAAATAAGTCCAATTTCTCTCTGGAGAACAGCAAGGAAACCAGTTAGGAGAATATTGTAATAGTCCAGGCAGATGGTGATGGTATGGTGAGCAGAGTGTTGGAACAGATGTGGTGAGAAGTGGTGGATGTATTTTAAATGTAGAGCCAATAGAATTGGTTGACATATTGGATATTGGATTTTCTTTGATAGGATAGCGGTGACTGGGATTTAAGGATGACTCCATGTTTTCTTGCCAGAACAGTAAGAAGATTGGAAGGCAGGAGAAGTCATATATGAAAGACTGATAAGGAGATGGCCAGATTTAGGTGAGGTCAATCAAGAGTTTAGTTCTAGAAATGTCAATTTTCAAATGCCTGTTCATTGTCCAAGTGCAGATAGTACATAAGGGGTCAGATAAATGAGTCTGGAATGCAAAGTAAGGGATCGGGGCTGAAGATGTAAATTTGAAAATCTAGGATATGAGATTGGATGGAATAAGGAAGCGCGCCCATCTTGAAACTTGGGGCATTCCAAAAGTTCAAGGTCAGGAAGGTGAGAAGGATCCAGCAAAGGCGATGAGAAGGAGCGGCCAGTAAGGTAGGAGGAGAACTGGAAGCTGTTTCAGCTATGTATTGATTTTACTTGTAAATCTTCTAAGATAATATTTTAATCTGAAAAGAAATTGTTTACTGAGGTATTATTAGTTATATAAATGAAGTACTTCCAAGAGAAAAAATGGGTCAGAATAGAGATATTGATGTTCTTTCTGCCTCATCCCTTTCCCCAACTGCAAACTACCCTCCAAATATTTTTTTAAAGTAAACTATATCATAAAAGCAATATGGAGGGTTGAGATTGATTAGATATAAAATGTTAAGTAAATAAGATATGTATACAAGTAAATATAATGCAAGACTTCCCTGGAGTGTTTCCAACTTTATGCTAATGAGAATTGTGCAAGTTGTGTCTCTAATTTTAACCAAGAAACAGAGTGATAAAATTTCATTTGTAGTAATTATGTTAAAAATTGAGGTTGATGTATTTATATAGTGCTTTTTCTTGTTCTTAGGTTCTACTTTTATTTGTATTTTATTATTTCCTCATTATTATTATTCTAAGCTGTCTGAAATTCTCTGTAAAATGAATAATGATGTAGAAAAATATGTATTGGGCTATCAGGCTTCAGAGGACAGATGAATTATTTCCTTTCTCATCATTCTAATTTTTCCCCATCAAAGTCCTTGTGTTTCATTTAATTTATATCTGTCTATTGCATGTGAACATTTAGGAAGCAGTTAACCTAAGCATATACAAAAGCATCATAGGGATTGTTCTCTGCCATTCAGAATACTTTCAGATAGAATCTTCCTAGTTGTCTCTTAGATGTTCCACATTTCCTAGAGTCTCTTACTGCCTTATTTTAAACTAATTCTTTTGCTCATTGTGGAAAGAAAATAAAACACAGTGGGATGAGGGAAAAAAATTAATTTGGAGATAGGAAATGCTACTGTTATAATGTGATTTAGAAATCTGTAAATTCTAGCAGCTGTTGCCATAGGAATCCTACTTTTATTGAAACATGAATGATAAGAATGGATTAGATCAGTGAAACTAAACTTTTCAAAGTACTTAAACTAGTAACTTTTCATTTGATCTGTGGACACCCTTGCGTGCCAATCAGATTTTGCTAGGTTTGCTGTGATAACAAACAGTTCCAAAGTTTCAGTGCCTTTACAACAACAAAGGTTTATTTCTCCTTCAAGTTACAGCTGTGGTTAGCTGTGGTTTTGCCCCATGTATGTTCCTCTAGAATCCAGGCTGAAGGATCGGACTCTATCTGAGACATTCTCTTCTCATGGCAGAGGGAAAATGGCAATAGTAGAAGTACAGACAGGCTCTTAATGCTCCTGCCTAGGAGTGGCACACACTACTTCCACTCACATTTCTTTTGCCAAGTCTGATATTGGTGGGGGTGGGGAAATATAATCACATCATAGGAAGGGGCAGAAAATAAGTGGGACAAAAATACAGCCTACCACACTGGAGGTTGTTGTTGTTGTTATTGTTATGTGCCATCAAGTCGGACCCGACTCATAGTGACCCCTCCTTGGGTTTCCAAGGCAGTATCACTATGGAAGTGGATTGCCTAACCTTCCTTCCAAAGCATGGCTGGAGTGTTTGAACCAGCAGCCTTCTGGTTAGCAGTCAAGTGCTTTAGGCACTATGCCAACTGACACTGGAGGTAAGATAGCCTGAATGTGGATTATCACATTAGCACAGAACCATTATTATGAATCTCATGGGCCATTTTATTCTCAGGAGATCATAATAAAAAAGGTTAGAAGAAAATAGTAACACATTGTTATTTTAGTGCCCCTTCTAGAAATTTGCAATGGTTAGCTATATATTAAGTCAAATTGAGTCCTCTTGATGCAGAAAGACATTGTACGGTTAGAAGTTACTCATCCCAGGCTGAATGACAATTGATGTGTATCAATCTCTTGTTTTCAGTGAAAAGCAATTTAGATGAAGATGATGATAATGTTGAGCAGCTCAATGAGTACGACCTGAATGACAGTTTTATAGATGACGAGGAAGAAGAATATGAGTCCCCAGATGGAGATCCTGACTGGGAGCCAGGAAAGGAAGACCTAGAGAAGGAAGATGTTGAGGAGCTTTTGAAAGAAGCAAAAAACTTTATGAAAAGAAAAAAGTAACTCTTCTGGAATAATGTATGGCATCACATTTACTTTGTCTTTATGGAAAAAAAAAAATCTATGAACTAAGAAGGTACTTAAGATGTAATTGTTTTTCTTCTTTTAATAGTTATGACTTTTTACTACTGACTCTTTGTAGATGAAACATTGAAATATCAGCCTTTAGTGTAGTGGATGGAATTTATTTTGTTGCCTTGCTTTTTCTATCCTATTTAAAGCATTTGGAAATAGGAAGTAGGGAATTTAAAGAGTAATCATTGATATTTTTCATGTATTTTGTGTGTTGGTAATAAAGCATCAAAGCCATATATTTGTACAAACTTTTGCTTTTTCCCTATTTTCTAAGATTCTGTATTTATAAAACACTATGCAAATATAACCAGGAAAATTACATCATAAGTGGGAGAGCTTGCCTCTTTTGATGCTATTAAAGTAGTTCTTCAAGCAGTGGCAGGCTTTCAAAATGAAGGCCATTATATAATGGCTATAATTTTTTTTAGTACCTGAGATGAGAGCTTTGTGATTTCTTTTCCTTTTATGCTTTGAGTCTTGGGGAAATTAGTACCAAATTTCAGTATACTGAAAATAGGTTCAAATAAGCTATAGAAGAGAAACGTTCACCATGCAGGGAGTGTTATCTTGTGTCCAACATCTAGTCTAATTTACTGTATATCTGAGTTTAAAAGTAGTAATGCTCAAAGAACTTAACTTTTTCTTCCCTGAAAAAAATCTCACCTGGTTATTTCAATTTTAAATATGCTGTCTGTGCATTAAAAATATAGAAATGATTTTTAACCAAAAATTTTCAAATGACATTAGTCTTTTGTTCTTAGGTGAAAAGTACCACATTGCCTCCAGTGTTTAAGATCCTGGTCTCTTACATCAAGAAGAAATCACTTCTCCAGTTCTATGAAGTGATTATGCTTTTGTATCTCTGTTCTTAAACCACTTTAGCCCTTGAAATGCTCTACCTTTTGGGTGACTCGTTGTTGTTGCTGGGGGCCATCGAGTCATCTCCAGCTCATAGTGACCCTATGTACAACAGAATGAAACACTGCCCAGTGCTGTGCCAGCCTCACAATCCCTGCTTTTCCTAATAAGCGCATTGTTTCAGCCACTGTGTCAATCCATCCTGTTGAGGGCCTTCCCCTTTTTTGCTGACCCTCCACTTTACCAAGCATGATATCCTTCTCCAGGGAATGGTCCCTTCTGACAACATGGCCAAAGTAGGTGAGACAAAGTCTGGCCATTCTTGCTTCCAAGGAGCATTCCAGCTATACTTCTTCCAGGACAGATTTGTTTGTTCTTTTAGCAGTCCATGGCACTTTCAATGTCTTTTGCCAACACAGCTCAAAAGCATCAATTCTTCTTTGGTCTTCCTTATTCATTGTCTAGCTCTCACATGCATATGAGAGGATTGAAAGTACCATGGCTTAGGTTAGGACCACCTTAGTCTTCAAAGAGACATCTTTGCTCTTCAGCACTTTAAGGAGGTCTTTTGTAGCAGATTGTCCAAGTGTAGTACATCATCTGATGTCTTCACTGCTGCTTCCATTGGTGTTGATTGTGGAACCAAGTAATATGAAATCTTTGACAACTTCAATCTTTTCTCCATTTATTGTGATGCTGCTTATTGGTCCAGTTGTGAGGATTGTCATTTTCTTTATGTTGAGATGTAATCCATACTACAGAAGGTAGTCTTAAATCTTCATCAGTAAGTGCTTCTAGTCACCCTCACTTCCAGCAAGCAAAGTTGTGTCATCTACATATTGCAGGTTGTTAATGAGTTATCCTCCAATCCTGATGCCACGTTCTTCTTCATATAGTCTAGCTTCTTGGATTAATTGCTCAGCTAACTCAGCTAATTAATTAACTGCCATCCTTCTGGTTAGCAGTCTAATGCCTTAGGCACTACATTAGGAAGGGAAAATGAATTTGTGCCCGAACTCATTTTCCCTTCCTAATGTAGTGCCTAAGGCATTAGACTGCTAACCAGAAGGATGGCAGTTCAAACCCACCAGCCATTCCTTGGAAGGAAGGTTGGGCAATCTACTTCCATAGTGATTCCGCCTCTGAAACCCAAGGAGGGGTTGCTATGAGTCGGGTCCCACTCGACGGCACTTAACAGCAACAACAATGTCCCTTTGGTCTTGGAGCCTTGACAAACCTATGAATAAAATCTTTGAACTTATTTTCAGCCTTGCACTGACTTAATCCATAGTGATACCACCTCAGAAATCCAAGGAGGGGTCGCTATGAGTCAGATCCGACTCGACGGCAGTGAGTTTTTGGTTTTCTTTTTGTTAGTATCTACCCAAGAAAGTTAAAAGAACTTGTCAGCACAAAAACGTGTATGCAGATAACTATAGAAGCATTATTCATAGTAACCAAAAAGTAGAAATAACATAAATGTTCATTACTTATTGAATAGATAAATAAAATGTGACATATCCACACAATGTGATATTATTTGACCGGAAAAAGCAACAAAGTACTGACAATATACTACAACATGGATTAACCTTGAAAATATGCTAAGTGAGAAAGGCCAGACACAAAAGGCCATATATCATATGAATCCATTTATATGAAATGTCCAGAGTAGGCAAATCCATAGAGACAGAAACTAAATTTGTGTCCTAGGGCTGGAGGTGGGGTTAGTATATGCAGAAAGGAGGAGTGACTGACAATAGACATGGAGTTTCTTTTTGAGATGATAATTTTGTTTTGTTCCACATTTTTCTCCCACTCTATCTGGACCTCTTATGTTTCAGTTTTCCACCTCTGTTTGTTAGTTTGAGTAAGTAGTGTGTTTCTAGCAATTTGTCTATTTCGTCCAGGTTTTAGAAGTTGTTGGCGTACAAATTTTCAAAGTATTACTTATGATCTTTTTTATTTTTGTTTAATTGGTTTTAATGTCACCAATTTCATTTCTTAATTTGGTTATTTACCTCTTCTGTTTTTCTTTATTTTGCAAATCTAGCCAGTGACTTGTCTGTTCTATTGATCATTTCAAAGAAAAACAACTTTTGGTTTTGTTAATTTTTTCAACTGTATTTGTATTTTCAATTTCATTTATTTCTAACCCAATCATTATTACTTCTTTTATTTTTGGAGATTTTGGCTTCTTTTAGTCTTCCTTTTCTATTTATTTAAAAGTTGTTGGTTTAAGTTTATAATTTTGGATCATTCTTTTTTAATATAGGCATTTATTGATACAAATTTTCCTCTGCGTGCTGCTTTTGCTGTGTCCCAAATGAACAAAACTGTCCTGGAAGAAGTGCAGCTGGAATGCTCCTTGGAAGTGATAATGGCCAGACTTTGTCTCACCTACTTTGGTCATGTTGTCAGAAGGGACCACTCCCTGGAGAAGGATATTGTGCTTGGTAAAGTGGAGGGTCAATGAAAAAGAGGAAGACCCTCAACGAGATGGATTGAAATAGTGACTACGACAATGGGCTCAGGTATAGCAAGGATTGTGAGGCTGCCACAGGACTGAGCAGTGTTTTGTTCTGTTGTACATAGGGTCACTATGAGTGAACTCAGTGGCACCTAACAACAACAATACAACGACATGAAAAAGGCTGGGATATTGTTTATATTCCATGAACATCATGTTAGGGAGAGTTTCGCTCTTATCCATTGTTTAGGACAGCAACTGATGAAAAACTCAAGTGTTTATTAACAATGCTCTTGAGCTCACTGACAACCTAGTGTCATAAGTTATTTCCTCATTTTGGAAATCAGATTTAAACACAGTCCAATTACAAATGGTATACTGTTATTATACTTCAGTCAAATTATAAAATATTTAGATATTATTCTCAAAAGTATTGTCAAAAGTATTCTCAAGATGATTATGAAAGGCACATCAAACTATCTTTAAAAAGTAGCTAACTGTGGAGGTGGGGGAAGATGGTGAAGTGAATGGATGCTCCTATGTACTACCTCAGCAATTAATTAACTCACTGAAAAATGAATAAAAACAAGCCCAAGTTGATATCTCACAACTCTAGAAAGCATCTGAGGTGTTGGAGAGTTGGGGCAAGTCCAGAAGTAGGGGAGAGGAGGAATAGAGTCAGCTCAGAAGCTGAGAGCATCTACTCACTGAGAGTGCTTGCTCATTGCAGTCATTTGGGGATGGGTAACAGTCCCAACAGGGAACACAGAAAAGGAACTAATGTGAGGAAGCAGCAGCCCAATTTTTCTTTGAAACCAAAACCAAACCAAACTCACTGCCATTGGGTTTCTGAGGTAGTGAATCTTTATGGAAGTAGATTGCCCCATCTTTCTTCTGCAGAGCGGCTAGTGGGTTTGAGCCGCCAACCTTCTGGTTAGCAAATGCCTTAGGCTCTATGCCACCTTCATTACATAATATCAATCCAATTTTCCCTTAGTAATCAGGATCTCCACCACTCATCTTTCAGTTTTTCATACTGTGATGGCTTGCATGTTGCTGTGAGGCTGGAGGCCATGCCACCAGTATTTCAAATACCAGAAGGGTCACCCGTGGTGGACAGGTTTCAGTGAAGCTTCCTGACTAAGACAGGAAAGAGGGAAAGGACCATCCACTTTTCAAAGAATTGGCCACTGAAAGCCTTATGAATATCAGTGAAACACTGTCTGATATAATACTGGAAAACTTTATCAATAGCCCTGAAACATTGTCTGATATAGTGCCAGAAGATGAGCCCCTCAAATCGGAAGGCACTCAAAATTAGACTGAGGAAGAGCTGCCTCCTCAAAGTAGAGTTGGCCTTAATGATGTGGCTGGAGTACAGCTTTCTTCATAATAGTGAAAATTATCACATATATATTTCTCACCTATGTGCTTAATTCTAAAACAAGTATTTATGGTGGATCTCTTGAGGGGATGTGGATTTTCAGGGACCTTGGGAAGCTGGAGATAGGAAGATAGGAGAAATGTTCAAGGGAACACTTGTACTTTGACTCTGTTCCCCCTCCTCCCAGGTTGAGGATGGCTCCTTTTGATACTGAAT